ATGCTTTCTTGCATGGCGATCTTGATGAAGAAATATATATGAAACTTCCTCAAGGATATAAAAGCTCCGCTCCGAACAAAGTATGTCGTCTTAAGAAGTCTCTGTATGGGCTTCGTCATGCCCCTCGTTGCTGGTACGCCAAGCTCACCAATGCTCTTCTTCGATTTGGGTTCTCACATGACTACGCGGATCAGTCCCTATTCTCTAAAGTTCGTGGGTCTATCTGTATTCACATCTTGGTTCATGTTGATGACTTCATCATCGCTTGCAATGATACACAAGCTCTGCAAGACTTCAAAGACTACCTCCACAAATGCTTTCGAATGAAGGACCTTGGCAAGTTAAAATACTTTCTTGGTCTAGAAGTTGCCCGCAGCAACTCTGGTTTTTACTTGTCACAGCGCAAATATGCTCTTGATATTATCACTGAGACTGGTCTCCTTGCATCTAAGCCATCTCCGGTGCCAATGGAGCTTAATCATAAGCTCGCCAAGGCTGAGGGTCCTTTGGCAAACGCGCAACAATACCGGCGTCTTGTGGGTTGCTTAATTTACCTCATTAACACTCGGCCTGATCTTGCGTATTCGGTTCATATACTAGCCCAAATCATGCAGAAGCCACTTCTCCCACACTGGGATGCTGCAATCCGAGTTGTACGCTACCTGAAAGGAAGTCCAGGCCAAGGCATCTTCTTCAAAGCCGATGATCAACTTCGTATTAGTGCATTTTGTGACGCTAACTGGTCGGGTTGTCCTCTTAGTCGTCGTTCTCTTTCCGCCTACATTGTCTTCCTAGGGGATTCTCCTGTTTCTTGGAGGACTAAGAAACAAGATGCAGTGGCACTCTCTTCTGCCGAGGCTGAATACAGGGCAACTGAAATGGATGAAAGGTCTCTTTTTATCATTTGGTCTCTATCATCCTGATCCTATGCGTCTCTTTTGTGATAGCAAATCTGCTCTGTACATTGCTTCCAATCCAGTTTTTCATGAACGTACTAAACACATTGAGAGGAATTGTCATCATGTTCGGGATGCGCTCAAGGCAAAGCTTATCGTCACAGAGCACGTCTCGTCACGCAATCAGCTAGCTGATATTCTTACTAAGTCACTTCCTTCACCTCTCTTTGAAGAATTGTTGTCCAAGTTGGTTGTTCGCAATCTCACACTTCCAACTTGAGGGGGAGTAATGGGATAACTCCTACTTAGATTAGGATAATTCTATAATTTCGAGATAATGATGTTTCTAAGTTATCTTTATTTGTCCTATCATGTTAGGACTTACGTGTATAAATACAGAGCCTCTTGCTCAGAGATCAATAAGACTTCTATTCATATTTTACAAACCATAACATGGTATCAGAGCCCAGATCCTTAAAAAAAAGCCCTAAACCCCTAATTAATTAATTACCCTTCCGACCGGGTATATAGGTCGTGTTTAACCTTCCAGCTAGGTATAATTGTCGTATTTGACTCGCTCGACCGAGTATAACTGTCTTAAAGTTCCGAGATTTCTGGCCGATAAGAGCCTTCATCTCGAGGAGGGGTATTAGGGATAATATATCCCACATCGGGAAATCAAAGGGACCTTAAGTAATATATAAAGAGTTAGGGCCAATCCACTTATCACCAATTGGTTTTAAGTTGGAAGCCCATAATAAACCCGAATCTAACAGTTGTCTAGAACAAAAAGTAACGAGTTTCAAATCTTAATTATTGCACCGATGATTATTTCCAATGAAAATACACAGCCAAGTTAAGGATTCAACATTTGCAAATCCATTAGCCACCACTTATTGGAGGTATGACGGCTAACTCATCTCTGTGTTTGATAGTGGCTGATATGTTGTATATTCCTCGTTTAAAGCAAGAATTACACAGCCACGCACCTCTTCTAACCTCGGAACTTGATCACCAACTCGTCCATACATTTCTTCATTGTGTAAGTTCAAGTGTTTGGAACTTGATAGATTGATGCAGTGGTAGAGCTTTGGTTCGTATATATGTATCACACAAAGATAATGATATTTGACACATGTTTCGAAGAATAAAAAAGAAACATCAAGTGATGATGTGATAAAATAAGTAGTAAGAAATATTATTAGATTACAAACTAGAAAATGTTGTGATGCTAAAATATAGAAAATAATATATCGAATAATATGAATAAATTATTTAATATATATATCTTTGTTTAATTTAGGTTTAGAGTTAGAGTTTTTGACGTGGTAACTCTAGAAAACACAAAGAATTTGGAATTTCATAGTTGAGTGAATTAGGAGACTTGATCAACATGTGTTGAGTTCAACAAGGTGAATATATTAGAAATCGATATGTGTCGAGTCGTAACTCGGATCAAGCAAGTCTGTAAGTGACTGTGTAAATGGTTTCTAATAAAAGAAGTACGTGTTCTTGGACTTACTTTGTGCCTTGTCTTTTTGCTGAATCTCGATTCTACAATTGGTATTAGAACGGGACACCTAAATGAAGGAGGATTCTTTGAACCAATGTGAGATCGTGAGAAGAGAATATGTCGATTTAAGCACATAATATGTTGTTGCTGGATGATGTGAATTATGAGTGAAAGTGAGAATGAGAGACAACTTATGTGGAACTGATAAAGATATCTAGACAGTTGTTCAATCTGGATGGGAAGAACCGTGTGTGGTGCTAGAAGATGGTTTGAAGACACTTAAACCAAAGATCATTACCTAACCTTTAAAGCAGCTAAGATACCAATTGGAATTGCCTTAGTTATGCCTCGTCCCAATCTCCTTACTATAGATGAAGGATGTGTTAACCTGGCAGGCTCCTAGCATTCATTTGATCAGATGATTCTTCACACAAGGTTTTGGGTTACCAAAAGTAGCTTTACAAATTTCAATAGTCTCAGTGGTGAAGCTAGAAAGAGAGGACTGGGTGCCATGCACCCATAATTTTAGTATAATTTCAAATTTTCCAAGGCAAAGTAATATAAATTATGTAGATAACTATCCCTTCCTCCTCCTATAATTATCTTCAAGATATGCCCTGACTATTACATAGGTTTATGGCTTTATGCAGTAGAATAAGTAAAAAAAAAAACTAGCCAACCCGTAGAAAAGGTAACAACACTATTGGTTAAAATAAAACTCAAGTAAAAATAAAACACAGCAAAAACAAAATTAGTTCATCTCAGCCAAAATGAAAATATTGAACCAAATGGTCGACTCTTGATCTTGGTTCACCCTTTTCTTCTTGCACTTTTTGAAGTAGGATCCCAATTGCTTTGTTTAGAGCCTTGAATCTTTACTAATGGAAAAGGCCATTATGTTGATCTACTTTTCCATTTTGCTCTTGGTCGATCTTTCTTTTTTTCAGAAAAGAAAAGAAAACATGTGCATCTCCTTTTTTTTGACTGTGGTCCAAATCAATTTGGATATGCTCGTTTTGTTCCTTGAACCCAATTGGACGATCAAAATGGTTCTCTTAACTTGAAATAAACTTCAGCTCAATTAGGTCTAAGTCAGCTCTATCTCCAGTTCCCCAATCCATCTAGTTCACCCAATTATTCTAGGTTATCAAGTTCAACCAGCTCGCTTGGTTCATCACTCATCCTACTTACTAGCTCGTCCACGTCCTGATCAAATTCTTACCTTCACATGATCACTCTAAAGAGAGAAAAAAATCCATGTTTCCATTATACATACAAAATATTTACAAAAATCCATGCATCTCCTTTTTTGACTGTGGTCCAAATCAATTTGGATATGCTCATTTTGTTCCTTAGACCCAATTGGAAGATGAAAATGGTTCCCTTGACTTGAAATAAACTTCAGTTCAATTAGGTCTAAGTCAGGTCTATCTCCAGTTCTCCAATCCATCTAGTTCACCTAATTATTCTAGGTTATCAAGTTCAACCAGCTCGCTTGGTTCATCACTCATCCTACTTACTAGCTCGTCCATGTCCTGATCAAGCTCTTACCTTCACATGATCTCTCTAAAGAGAAAAAAAAAATCCATGTTTCCATTATACATACAAAATATTTACAAGAATTCAAAACCAAATAAAAGCGATAAAAAATCAAGCCGAAACATTTGAATATCTATACAAACCCAAAAAAAAAAACTATTTAAAAATTCCAGCCTGATTCTAAACCAAGCCTAAAATCAGGGATATTGCCATATTGGTAAGTTAGTTTTCATGAACTGAATTTTCATTGTTATTGGTTCATGGATTTCAAATTTTTAATGAATCCATTTAAATTCCTTGTTATTCAAAAAATAGTTATTATTGATTCTCTAATTCTAACTAATCTAGTGTTATTGAGAAATTAATTCTATTCATTTTTACTCACAAGACTCAACTTTCAAAATATCTTATATATTTATGAGAAGTTCAAAATCCATGTGATAAAGAAAACTAGAAAACAAAATAAATATTCTTACCAAATATATGTTGCACATTCAATCCAAATTATATTTCTAAAAGTATAATTCAACATTTTATACTTATATATATATATATATATATTTTATATCATTAATATAAACTAAACATATGAATGACTAAATAAACATAATACGGTTAATGTTGTTAATATAATATTCATTTTATCATATTAACATAATTTTGTATGTATCACTATTATTATTTCTTACAAAATCCATGCTATGAAATTAAACAATAAATCATGTTATATGAATTATATAATATGATTTAGAATATATATAAATTATATATCTACTTTACAAAAAAAAAAAAACTAGAAAAGAGATAAAACAAATTCATGAAAATCTATACAATTCAAAAAAAAATTATGATCAAATTTTTTACAAGTATAAATATATATATTTTCATAATCTACATAACTTTTACCATCTATCAACTCTTAAAATCTAAAAATTCTATACAAATTCATTTCCCAATAACTCCCTAAATCACGAAACTAATACAACCACGACCCCCACCCGGGTGATACAGGGTCACAATCTGTTAGGATTTTCGGCCCAAAAAGAAAAATACTTTGTCATCGTTATCTTTACTTTAATGCCCTTGCCCCGAATATAGATGAAGAGTTAAAGACGCACGCGATTGACACGTAGCCAATAAGATATCTCCACGTGTTATTCCCCCCGCTAGGCTCTAGCAAATGGATAAAGGACAGAGTCGGCTGCCTTTAGGGAAGAACTCGAATCTGAAATCTTCTTCATGGATGCGGAGGAGTTGCTTGATTGGGAGCTTGTCCATGGCTCCGACACCGAATCAATCACATCGGAGAAGCAATCGGGAAGCTCGAGTGTAATCGATGACGGTATGATACTCTCTGATCATTTCTCTACCGATCATCTTCTTACAACTCATCAAAGCCTGCGATCTTCCGGGGTCGTTCACTGGTCGGGTGATACTGGTGCCAGAAACGAATTAGGGTTTACTGATTGTGAGATCAAGGTGAGTGATTTTCAAGCTTCAGATGAGGAGGAAGACGTTGAGGGCGAGGCTGTTGCCAGTGATTCTCATATTGAGGATGTAAGCAAGTGTTTGTCTGAAACAGACCAGAGCCAAGCTGGTGTTGAAGAACATATTGAGGATTCGAGCAAGTCTTTGTCTAACGAACTAGTTTCTGGAGATTCTGGGATTGTGAGTGGTGAAGAGGAGATTGTTTCTGATAGTGAAGCAGTTGAGGGAAGTGGAGGGGATACTTTAGATTCTGCTGTGAGGTCGGGTGATGAGAGTAAACGTAGAGAGATAGTGTGGTGGAAGATGCCTTTTGTGCTTGTCAAGTACTATGCATTTAGGATTGGTCCTGTTTGGTCTGTCTCCATGGCTGCAGCTGTGATGGGTTTTGTTCTCTTGGGACGCAGACTCTATCATATGAAAAAGAAAGCTCAAAGGTTCCATCTTAAGGTTGCAATTGACGAGAAGGTACACTATATTTCAGAACTTTGGGGTTTCATTTTGCTTCAAATTGGTTTATAGCTATCCTAGATTGATTTCTTTTAGGTTGCTTATGTCCAAAGTTGTCCCGTCCTTGATTAAGTCAAATTATAGATTTTTGTATGTAATACTTTCTTAGCGCAAATAGCGTATTCGACCGTCCTTAGGCATCACCGTTACACCAAATACTGAGAGTTGATATGATTGTTATAGCACACGCATCTTATTTGACTGAGTTTTCTTCTATCATTATCACGTCTTGGGTTGTGTTTATGATCTGTGCAGAAGGTGTCGCGCGTGATGAGTCAGGCAGCTCGACTCAATGAAGCATTCACAGAGGTAAGAAGGGTCCCAGTGATCCGCCCTGCTCTGCCATCTCCTGGTGCATGGCCGGTTTTGAGCCTTAGGTGAGACCCGGTTATACAATGTCTGATAACATTATGTACCAAATGAGTAGAAGAGACACGTACATGTGTGTACAGTGGGCTCATCATGTTATGTACTAAAAGAATAGAGATTCATGGTGTTTGTGATGTTCCTATCATCCTATCCATAGTAGTGGTTCACTGTTATTATGCGATCCCGTTCTTTTTAGTTTTCAAAGATTTACCAAAAAAATTCATTTGAAGTTTTAAAGAATTTGATCAAATTGCATATTGCACTAATATTTGTAATCCCATAAACAAAACAAGTGTCCCAAAACGAAGACTCAACTTATTTATACACTTAAGCCACCTCTGCTACTTTCTTAATCTTACATTCTCAAATCACTTGTGAATCTTTCGGTCTCGAGTCTTTTCAAGTGGTTGTAGCGTTCGGATCAGATGAAACGAGAGCAGAAACATATAGGTCAGTGTCAACCGAGGCTTCACTCTTGCTTCTACCACTTTCTGGCCTTCTCCTCCTCTGCCCATCCCCATCCACGTTTCTTGTACCTTGGGAATCACTAGGAGCAGCAGCTTCATATAAGGTTACGGACTTGCCCCTGCTGTGGAGATTAGCCATGACTTCCCCCTGAGCATCGCCATCTTCCTTGAGGGTCTCGAGGACTTCCACCGCATGACTCATAAGGGGCCTCCCTTTCGGGTTTTGGCTTAAGCATTGGTATGCCAAATCGGCTACTTTCATTAACGCCTTAGTGGTGTATTGCCCATCCATTCGAGGGTCTATGATCCTCAAAAGCTTTTTGTTGTGATTCAGTAGAGGTCGTGCCCACTCTACCAAGTTATGCTCCCGGCAAGGTCTGCTTTTGTCCATCGCCCTCTTCCCGAGGAGCATCTCAAGGAGAAGTACCCCGTATCCATAAACATCACTTCTTGACGTCAAATGTCCTACATTCAAGAATATACCCATTTACAAAGCAATTACATGACATGATCATGTTTACATTTTGCACGCTGGTAGCCATGACTTTAGTAGGTGCTTGTATCGAATGTACCCAAATGTGAAGACAGACCTGTCATTACATACTCAGGAGCAGCGTAGCCGTAAGTTCCCATAACACGTGTTGACACGTGTGTTTGATCTCCGCTGGGACCATCTTTTGCTAGTCCAAAGTCTGCGAGCTTAGCATTGTAACACTGCACAAGCATTACACAATTCATGGGGAGCATAGTAGACTTTGAGCTTCACTGACACAACTCTATAACACCTTTGAATACAAACTACCTACCAAAGAAGAACATCTAAACAAAAAGGAAGTGAGAAGCTGACCTCATCCAGCAATATGTTGGCTGTCTTGAGATCCCGATATATAACGGAGCGTTCGGCACCATGAAGAAAAGCTAAACCCTTGGCTGCGTCTAGCGCGATCTTCACTCTTTTCGACCATGTCAAAGTGCATCCAACTCCTGCAACACAACACAAGAAACCTTTGGGCTCAATCTACGTTCGATCCTCTTCAAGAAAATGACAAGAAACCTCTCTAACTTACTTCGGAAAAGATGTTTCTCGAGGCTTCCCAATGACATGTACTCATAGACTAATAACCTGTGTTCATCTTCACAGCAGTATCCAATGAGCTTGACCAAGTTGGGATGACTAAGCTGTCCTAAATAGTTAACTTCAGCCTGCACAAGAAACAAAAAAAAAAAAAAATCAAGCCACAGAATCTCTCAAGTCTAAGACATAAAAAGGGGGCAATTAATTAAAATACCAGCCACTCTCGATCACCCTGAAAGCCTTCCGGATTAAGTTCTTTGATGGCAACTTTGGTGGACTTATAACCAGACCGCACATTGTCATCTATAACACCTTTGTAGACAACACCAAAGCCACCTTCCCCAAGAATGTAATCAGGCCTGAACTGCTTCGTAGCCAATTTCATCTCTTGGTAGGTGAATATATCCACATTCTCGTACCCTGGAGTTGTCTGAAGATCTTTGATGTTTTTAGGAGGCAAAGGCAATCCACTTGGACTCGGTTTACCACCACCAACTGATGATGACTCTTTACAATCTGAATTCATTAGATACACTGCTGAATTTTTGCCTGAGAATACCAAAAACAGAAACAGAATAATTAATTTTCTCCAAGAAGAAAATAATAAAATTACGCATAAAAATAGAATCGGAACCCTAAAATTGATGGGATACCTGAGGTCTTCTTCTTCTGATAGTTTTGCTGTTGAGAAATTTGGAACTGCTCTTCAGCGCTGAAGCAAATCCCCATGAAATTTGGAATGAAACTCTTCCTTGTGTGCTATTTGTTTGACATCTCATTGTCCATTAACGAACAAACAGATCCACAAGAAGAGGACACAAAGAGAGACCCGATCTCCGACAAACCTGGCCAATGAAAAAAATGGAAAATAGATGGTTTCTCGGAGAGAAAGAAGATAATTGTAGAGAGAGAGAATGAATGCTCCGTTGGAATCGATGGAATTTGAGAGACTAGCCGCCAAATAGGAAGACCCCTCTTTTATTCACGCTGTTTTCCCATCTAGCCAGTCAACGATTGCTACGTCATCAATCCGTTGACGGGATGAATGATTGGTATTGACTAAAATCCGACCCGGGTATAAAAGATACCAACAATTGTTACATGATTCGTCCCGGTTTATAAGAAACCCCCATTAAGTGACCATATATTAATCCGATTGTTACATGGTCCGTCCATTTATATTTCATTTAATAAACAATAACTGTCCATATATTAATGTATATAATATTTTAATATAAAGTACAAAATTAGTGAAAATATTTACATAATATTTTAAAATTGAGATTTTGTTAAAATATTTTTCTTAGCAAATTTGTTAGAATTTTTAAAATGTACATATATAGTTATATTTAAATGAAAAGCTATCAATAAATATTATGATTAGAGTAGTTACACCTATTTTTAAGTTATTAGACTTAAGAAAATACATTTATAAATTTTCAATGGAAGAATCCAACTAAAAAAATCTCACAGGAAAAAAATATGATTTATATTTTAATAGTATATTATTATTGGCTATGTGAACTATACCACGTAGCTAACGATGCAAACTAAACTAATTTATATCAGGCGGTCAAGAGAGAAAAATAAACATTTTTCAATAATTTCAAGCCGGAGGCTTCTACAGTTCCGTCATCGGCTTATTTAATTCATTTTGCTTCTTTTTTTTCTTTGATTTGTTTTATTTCTGGTCATTTGGTTTGTTTAATTGTCAATTTACTTTGAATTTAGCAAAGTTTTGGATTGTTCTTCGAATGATTCTGCCAATGGATTTGGAAAGACAAAAGCTTCTCTTCAATTGAATCTCTTAGAATAGGTAATTGACACATTTACTGTGGATGGTGGCTACAGGTCTGACCGACTTCAATTGTTGATGGTTTTTTTTATTTGATAGTAGTGGAGTTTTGCTGCAACCTATGGTTATTTCGAAAAACATCGTGAAAATTATATGGAACGGTAATCTCTTTAGCTATGTTATTATCAATAAAGCAATATAAAAAATTGCTTTCTCTCGTTGGCTCCTATTGAAGTAATAAAAAGAGAGTAGCAATCGTTCCCAACTAAGTATGAAGCATGGTATTTCTGGATTAATACGAAGATTACCGCCCTTGAGATTCAGTTATTTCAGAAGCAAATATGGAGATTTTATATGAAAATCTTTAGTCATCCATACACTGATAGATGTATTAGTTTAGTTTTGATCCCTACTAGTGTATCACTTTTATATATTTGTTTTATTAGTTTTCATTGTTCTCATTATTTAGAGTTTTTGCCTAAATTATTTAATAATACAATCCAACTTAAAAAGAAAAACTAATGTATACATAACTATACGAAGTACATGTCATGCATGACAACATCCTCCAACTTAAGGATGTTATGTAATTAACATCAGGAGCTTAATTTTATTAATCCAAAAATTGACGTGGGCGTTGGGAACGTTAATTTTGTATGATTCTCTCATTGATCAATTAAATTCTGACCCACCCAACCATAGTTTAACGACTCAGCCTAGTGAAACAAAAAATGAATTTAGTGACAGATTTTAGTTGGCCCAAATTTTATTAAAATATCAGAGATGTAGGTTTTTCTGTTACGGCAAAAGGAAAAACTCTAAGACATTAGTTTCAATTAAATCGGGTGAAAAAAACAACTTAGTGAAATCGTGTGGATTTATTGACCAAAGTTGAAAGAGAAATGAGTTAATAAATTTCTGGGTTGATAATTCTCTCTGTTGATTTTGATCAACAACCCCACATGATCTCACCAAATTTTTTTTCTCTTATCGATTTAAATAAGAACTCTAATTTCTGATTTTTAGCATTTTCGACCGATCAAATTTTAGTTAAATTACAGGATGTGAGTTAGATTTTAAAGCTCAAACAAAAGAATTAAATGGAGTTAATGTTTTCAACGTCTATATCACTTTTTGGACTAATGAAATTAAACTCATGATGTTAATTGCATACCATCATTAAGTTGAGGGAAGTTCCCATGCATAAGATATACTTCATATAGCTAGATATATATTAGTTTAATCTGTATGGCTAGACATGAGGTCGCCAATATTTCACATAGCCAGCAATCATTTTTTTTAATTATTAAAATTTTTTTTATTTTGAAAATTTTGGATAAATATGAAAGATTTCGGCTAGATTTTGAAAGAGTTCGAATACATTAGCCTTTTCTGATCTTAAATATTCGAATCCGACTGGACCTTCTATGGTCCAAAAATAACATATATTTTATAAATATTTTAATTTTAGATCTGAACCTGACCCAAAAAAATTCAAATACCTAATTGAGTACAAATGGTCACCGAACTCAAAAGAAACTAACCGAACCTGACCCAAATAACCGAACGCCCGACTTAGCTAAAGTACTTTGAGATTCCTCCCCTCTTAGATATCTGGAGACACGTCAAAATAAAAGAGAGTAAAGTCAAGTGACTCCACATACTTGGAAAATATGTTTAGCATAGGTTTGAGTAGTTTACCCGATACCGAACCAGTAAATGAACCTGTATCCAAATCCGACTAAAAATCCGAACCGAAATCCAAACCGTTGTAGCAAAATACATGAACATATATTGAGTTAAGGGAGACTAAAATCCAAATTCAAACGAGTATTCAAACAATGGATATATGAAAATAACCAAATATGTATATATTTCAATCCTTTTGATCTCTAGTCACTAAAGTCTTCTTGTTTGAACATTATACTTCATACCTTAAACCGTCAATCAAATGAATCAAGTGAAACAGTTAAAGTTCTTCTCGATGAAGCAAACCAAAGAAGGGGGTGCCACCTGAAAGTTACGGTGATATTTTTCGGTGGTTCTAGCAATGGTGATAGTGAACTCTCTCCTCAGCATGTTACCACATGTCAACATGTGTTGTTTTGCATGTGTTTTATTGTTCTTATCATTACCCGTAGATTGGGTGAAAGAAACAATTTTTTAAATTTTAAAAAGGGGTGATTGGACCGTAGAATGTCGCTGTAGTGCCTATTATAGACCTTTTAAGGCCAATTTAGCTCAATAACCATAAACCTTGTTGATATTAGTTATCTGGGTACGTCTAACTCTTCACCAAAAGTTTTACATTTTTACCCCTATAGACTGTGATAGTGCCAAATTCTAAAGCTGGTGCTAGCATATAGGGTAATGATGATAGTAGACTAAACTCTCGCACGCAACCTAAAATTTCCATTCAATGCAAATATTAGTATACATTCAACCGAGGCTGACGATTTTTCTTAACTTTTGTTTATTCATCTCCCCTTTTTTCTAGATCTACTATTATCTTTTCGAATCCTATGTAAAAATTCCCGATATGGTCATGTCTAGGCTTGTCGACTCACCGGAAGAATGCGACAGTATTAATCTGGATTTCATTCCAGATCTGATGTTTGTGCCAGCGAAGAGCTGGTTGGAGTTAGGGTTCTGACATATCAGTCTTCTAGGGCGATAAAACGACACTTTCAAAATTATTGGTTTATCGCATTTTACAGTTTGTTAATTTTGTCATGTTTTAAAATTACATGACAACGACACTTCTTCTCCTGACAAACAAACTCTGAACCTCAACTGTGTATCTGACACCCGATAAATCATAGCTTGCTTGTCTTCTAGAGAGTTAGAAGGGTAGTTTCAAGATTTTTTTTTTTTTTTGATTCTTGTAACCGGTTACCTAAATTCGAAAAAGTAATCATTAGATAACTAATATCGTTTGCATCTATGGTTATAGGATGCAATTACTCTTCTTTTAATGAATGGAAAGTTTGACAGGGAAAAAATGAAATTGCTGATCTGAATAGCAATCAGTGTTAAAAAGTCTTAGCTGATTCTATTTTTGGGGAGTAACACATCAATACTATTAAAACAGGATCCCTTTTATGAATTTACCCTTGGGTTTCCTTGGCATATTACTTTTCGTGCCATCAAATTTACCTACAAAATGAAAATCATTAAGGTTAAAATAGGAAATGAAAAAAGACCACCTAAACTACCTAATAACTCGCCGATCATTTATATTTATAATCCCATAACTAGATCTTGACCCGCGCACCGGCGCTGGTTTAACTTAATTTGGAAAACCATTATATATTCATAAGTCATCGGTTATTACCGTATTTCAAAAACTATGATCGTATTGAATGTAATAGGACTGGAGTTTGATTTTGGGTTCAACTTTTGTTGGATTCTTTATATTCGTAGTTTTTTTTTAATTCTACAGATATAAGATATGTTCTGTTATCTATATAAATTGATTTTCGTCCGGTTCGATTCTTTGGTTTGAACTGAGTTTGGTAATAATTATAATAACCGACTAATATTAGATAAATATTTGGTTCCAATATGATAACGGTTTGGTTACGATTTCTAGGATTAATTTTAGATTAATCGGGGTAAAACTGATTTTGGGGGGGGGTATAGGTGTTTCGGATAAATATCGAGTTACGAAAACAAAATTTTAATATTTTAGTTAAAACTATTCAAATATTCTGTGTCTTTATGATAATATGAATAATGTAAAATACTTTAGATAAAATATATTTGAGTATTAAATTATTTGAAATGTAAATTGTTATTATCTTAAAAACTGATGTTATTTTTAATTTAGTCAACAATAAATAAAATTGAATATGGTCTTTATATAAAATATAAACTAAAAACACAAATTACTACAATGGGCCAAATGATTAAAGCCAACCATAAAATAAAATAA